AAAAATATTTTTGCATATTTAAAGGAAAAAAAAAACATGTTGGTGAGATTGAAGTCTGACTCATTTTGTACGGTTCAGCAATAATTGAGGCATACAATATTTGAGCTATTGAGCTAAGGATGCTACTAAGCTCATTAGCAAAGAAAAAAAAAACACATTAAAAATGTAGTCAATTCAAGTGAAATGGATTTCAACATATCGAGTGGGTGTAGTGGACCCTGTTTGGTCTTTAAAATGCTTCTGTAGCTGTTCCTGATTGAATTCCTGTCTGGAATGCCTCATGGTTGATGGTGTATGTCAGGGAGAAATCGAACCCAGGATGAGGGGAGCACTAAGCACAGATCTAAACAAGGGGACAGAAAATCAAGATTAACCCGTTTCAACATCATAACTAGTAGTTTACCAACATTATTAAAAGTCAAAAATCATTTATTTGTGATTTTATTTTGAAACAATACATTAATGTTCTCTTATTTGCAGGTTAATGAAACATCCCACCAAGCATTCAACATGATTTCTTTTATGTATATACAGAATAGTATTTTTTTTTATTTAACAAAGAAAAAGTTATTCAAAATAGCAGTCTTAAGTCCTTTCAACCACCTTTCAATGAAATTAAGTCATGAAAAGATGATTTTATATTGAGTAAATCTCACATTAGAGACAGATGTCAACATCCCTCCAATTAATATGACAACATGATATTGATTGATTAGATCATTAAAAATATTTTTTTTTTATAGTTTCCTTAGCACATAAAGAAGCGTAACGATGGCTGCAGAATTCTACAGCAATTTTTTCTTTTGATAGGAATTTAAAGATGAATAAGAATAGAAAGCAAGTTATTTTTATGACGGGACAGAATTAAGACAAGAAACTGAAAATAATGTGTGAACTGGTGCATGTTTGGATGTTTAAATAACCTTGCGTGAGTCCTAGTGTGACCCATCTTACTGAAAACAAGAACAATGGTGAGCTTTTCTACAGATATCTAAAAATAGCTGTTAACTAGACTACCTATTCAACCTGTTGAACATGACTGTTGGTGCCAAAAAGATAAAGGAATAAAGGAGTGGAAAGAATGCCTAACTATTCTGAGGAAGACATCTTGCCTGTGCAGCTGTCAACAGCACTTCTAAGATAGTTTTGGGTGGCGTTTTGGACTGTTGTATGAATGCCTGTTATGAGTCCGAATTGTAAAAAATATTTCTGGTGCACCTGAGTCAAAACTTTGTAATGATAATCAATCCTACTTCTTTTAATTTGCAGAGCAGCAGTAAAGAGCCTCAATGTATTTTTTTTTGTCCATCTGGATGTTTATCTTTGTTATTTTTTAAATGACTTATGGCTTATGAATAAAAAAATATGAGAGAACCCCCAATATAAAATATAAAAGTGTCTTTTATATTTTATAATCCTCTTGTAAACTTCAAATGTTAAATCCTAATTGCACTGCTTACTGGAATCTGAATTAAAAGAAAATCCCATCATTTAGCGGTCACTACATATGTTCATCGGTTTTGGTTTGCTTGCTTTATTACTGTGATTTATGGTTCTCATAATTCACATAATTGAAAATGAGCAGAACTCTTTCTGTGAATTGTACTCTTTTGTGTGAATACTCTGATGAAATATTTCAGTTCATTCATATTGGTGGGCATCCCATACACTGTTGTTTTAAAGCCCAAGCTCAATTCAGCACCGCTAAGATTGATGCCTTTGAAGATGAAAGAGATATTTCTCAAGATGAAAGACACATTTTTGATCCTGTAAATTGTCTTAAAAAATGTTTTAAATGCCTGCTTAGATTTAGCTGTTTATTTGTCATGATCTGTTTCTCATGCGAAGCCTCCCATTGTGGGTCAATATCACTTTTTGGAGGAAAGGGGGTGCTGGAATAAGACTGTCAGAGCATGTGATCTGTGTTGATATCTGGTGTGGAAGCCTGGAGGGACATTTCAGACATGCAACACTTCATCTCTGGCTGCTTTCCCTCCCCCTCGCCTTTCTTGCATGTTTTGCAACAAAGCAGGAAAAGTACCCAGCCCAGTGTCAGGTATCAGAAGATTGCTATGCGTCTGCTCTCACTTAAGGCAGACTCATACAAAACAAACACTGTGCAGGAAGACTTCCAGGAACTCAAGAACATGAAGTTCTTTAGTTATGTTGATCCCCCTTTAGAGACACAGAGAGGGGATTCAGCTTCTGTTTGTAAGATGTGGAAAATCTTTGCAAAAATTTGACAAGGGAATAATCTTTTTCTGTGGCACCTGTGAAATTCCACCAGTTCTTATACTTACAGCTCTTTTTAGAAGTTTACACGCAATCATTGTTGACCTGGCAGCCATATTAATCTCAGCCTTTGATGCTTTTAATAATTCATTTTAGGTCGATATAAATCAGCTTTATCTTTGAAAAGCAAAAATCTCAGTACACCTGTTTGCATCTTTATGATAAACACATTATTATACAGAAGCTCAAATACTTCGTTATAGGAAAGGTAGAACACCAAATCAAAAGTGAAATGAATATTTGAAATCAATTCTAGCATCTAAAAACTGAAATAATTTTATCAAACAATTTAAACTACTTGTTAAAGGAATAATGAAAGCGAACCTTCCCAATTTGATTCTGACTCTTAAACTCTTCATTCTGAAAACGAGGGGAGTACCAGTCAGTCGTAAGGTGAGGTGCAAGTGATAAGAGTATTTTGTTTCAGCACATTGGAGGTGGTTTTACCCATTTAACCTGAGTAATTTCATTTGTCATGCTCCTGATTGCTGTGCTAAGATTGATCACCTTTTTAAGAACGTACATAAGCCTGCATAAAACACTGGGGAACAACAAATGGTCTGGCAAAGAGAAGCATCCTGAAAACAGACGAAAGCATGCTAAAAGAAGTCTCCAAAAATCCTAAAACCTCATTAGAAGACTGAGAGCAGGTTCTTACTACTCCTGGTATGAAAATGGACGCATATCTAATCAGTAAGGAACTGCACTTTAAACTATAACTTTAAAGGGAGGTGTGAAAGAGTAAAACCTTTTCTCTATAGATTGTAGAAACACACTAGGAATTCTTTATTAATCGTTTTGGACACAGAAGTCTAAAATTAAACAGAAATATTTGGCATTTGATAAATAAAGCTTGTAAGGGAAAAAATCTTTGCTCTAAAGCAAGGAGGTGACAGTGTCATTGTAAGGGGGATCCTTTTCCACAGCAGATCTTCTTGCATTCTCTATTGCTTCCGGGGGCACTTAAGAGGACTGGAGATGGAATAGAACCTGAACTTAGAACATTAGAATGATCAAAAATATAACATATATTAAAGCATAGACTAACAGACACCATCAATGAATCCAAAGTTGTTAAATGGATTTAAATCTTTATGCTTAATACATGTGCAGACCTTCAAGTATTTGCATTTTGATGTTTTCAGTCACAGCTTGTGTTTTTCTAGGAGAGAGATTCAGACAGAAGGTAAAGATACCAAATTATTATTTATTACAGATTCAATCCAACTTTAAATGAACACAACGTTATGTTCAATGACATAAACTTGGATGACTCTAAAATCATGACCTTTATGATGATCAGAATGTCTATTGTCACCATTGTTAGAATAAAATTTGGATGTATCCTTAAAGTCCCATATTTGTGGTAAAAAAAAAAACGTGGATTTTCTGAGGCTGGGTAAAAAAAGTATTTAAGTTTAGAAAGTGATGTCCTTTCATCGCTGATATCCTGTCAACAACTTCCTGGTCTATCCCTCACAGGTGCAACATCTGCCTACAGCTACATAATTTCAAGAGAGGCCTCTGAAGCTGGTAATCTCAAGAGGGATGTCAGATAAGAGATGTGAGTTTAGAATGAAGCTTCAATTGCATCTGTCTCCACAGAAACAATATGATCACCTGGGCTTAGAGAGACCCTTTGAAAAATCCTTCATTTTGTCTTTATCCGTATTGATGCAAATTCCCAGTAGAACTGGACTCATCCCAGCTAGATGCTCACGGCTATACTGGATACAACGTGTTACCTCCTCCTTAGTCAGAGTAACAATGTCTAATCCTAAAGGATCTTTAAGGGCCAGCGCTAAACGAGCCTCCATTATGATGGCCTGATTGGTAAAAGCATGAAATCTGGAATGAAAGTGGCTGATGTTACCATTGAGCATAGGGTGAAAATAATCCTGTTCCTGTACTCATCTGGAATAAATAAAAATGAACAGAAAAATACTGTCCAAACTTATTTTAACGGTAGATTATCAATCAGATATCTTCCTTACTTTCCTAACTTTTCTATGAGGCTTCATGAAAATTTGATAACAATTGATCATTTAAGTTTATTCAGTGGAATATTTCTAGTGTTTTTTTTGTTGTTGTTTTTTCCAGTTGGGCTTATTACTTATCTATAATCAGCTAATATATACATATATATTACATAACAGATATGATGTAGTGGATAACATTTTTTTTACTCTTAAACTGTGAAATATTTTTTGTAAATATGTATATGAAATAAAAAGCTTCCTTATCGCAGTATAATGCAAACAAATATAATTTTTCTTTAAACCAATAATATTCAATTATACCTTATTAATTCCCAAAGTGAAATTCAGTTTCCCTGAAACTGAATGAAAACCCAACAAACCTGATGCTCTGCTATTATAAAAAGACCTTGGTGATTGGAAACCTGCCATTCTTTTAATAATCTTTCGCAACTTGTGCAAAGCTATAATTCAAATCCTCACATCTTTATATTCACTACATCTGTTGGACTTTGCTGTTGGTCAAGTTAATACGTGTAGTTAGATGATTCAAAAACAAGGTCTTTAAGCTGTGCTTCAATTGGACAAAACATTACCACTTAGCTGTAAAACTAATATTTTAAATTAGAAATGGAAATCTCTAAAATTAAAATGACTTCCACACGGATGTTGAATGCATGAAATCTGGAGGCTGTCATTCTACAAAAATAAGTCATGACAAGAACACATATGTGGAGCCTCACCAAGCTTTATTTACATGCGCACCATTTCTTATACAAAGTAGATTACAATTTAAAAAAGGGGGAATACACAGGTAGAATACTCACTAACATTGAGAAGAAGCAAGGTTAATAAAGGGCAAAGTTCAGAGGTGTGTGTGTGGAAGGAAAAAAGCTGTCCGGAGTTTCGTAATAAGCGAGAATGATAAAAAGGTGATGTCCCAGAGGTCATGAAGGTATCTAGTGGTATTATTAAGTTATATTAGCTTTACTTCAGCATATGACCTGACATGTTTATGCTAACTGGACACCATAATTGAAGGAAAGCTCCACTGTTACTTAGTAGAGAGCTAAAGCTCTTTACACTATCTGAGAAAACATGTCAGGAACACCTACTCTGGATTAAGATGCAGTTAATCTGGGATCAATAACCCAACTTTACACTGGAAAGGATTAGAGGGTTCCCAAGATTCACCTTGTCAGTGTTAATCTGTGTAGATGACTTTTGAATGTGTAACAGGTTAATCTAGATTCTCCCTGCAAAAATGAATGGTAGTGTACTGGAAATGTTGAATAAAATGAGGTGTTGGGCATTCCAGCTTTAAGTACATTAAAGCTCTAAAAAGCAGCTCAATCAGAGCACAAGGAAGGAGGTTAACAAGAAATATCCAAGCAGACTCATCCTGGACATGCATCTATGTGAAAATGCATGTACAGCGGCTGATATATTAGTATAAATTAAATCAACTTTTTAAAAAAATCATATCACTGTTTTCCACATATAATATCCTCATATTGCCAGGGCAATTTAAATGAAAATCATATAAATTTATAGTCAAAATATAAGTTTAGATCTGTGGTGTTACCTGAAGAAGGAAGTTTTTTTTTTGGCATGTTTAACAAAGCATTGAATTATAGCACCTTTTATTTATCCTTTTTTTTATGTAACAGATTTATTTGCTCCACAGTTAATTTGCACACAATGATTACATCATATGTGGAAAAGGTTTGTTTTTGTTTGACATGACAAAAACCTGCCGATCTGACAGAGGAGTGTACATTTCAAAGAGCAAGTTAAAAATCTAAACCTATTAAATGACAATAGTGGTGGAAGAGAGTGTTTTTATTTGTGTGCTAAAAAGCACAGGACTCATCTTCGGATTCTAATTCTTAAAGGGACGGAACAACTGGAAGTGTTGAATTATATCATGCACTAAAACCTCAGATTGCACAGCAGCTACTTTAGCCAGCCATGCACACTGACTCATCTGCTTCAAAATGATATACACAAATCTGTACACTATTATACAAAGCAAGGAATACACTTCATGTCGCTACCCCAAAACAGGAAAGGGGTATCACGGCTTCCAGATGCTACAACAATGGTGCTTCTGACCATTTAAAGAAAGAAAAAAAAAAAGGTTCAACAGTTAAAATCGCTGGTAACAGTGTTCCCACTAATCCGGCGTGTAACGTTGTTCCAAGTTTCTTCAACTACAGAGGTATCACAAAAAAAAAAAACAAGGATCAAGTACTAAAAATGAGTATATAAGGACAAAACAGCGAGTAATATATGCATGTAGCACAGCTCATGATGCATAAAGAGGACATGCATACAGTCCCTCAGCCTGTACGCAAATCGAGAGAATAATCCGACTGAAATCGACACGATGAAAAAACACGCATCAAACACGTAAGTGGACAGATACAAGAAGTCACCTGCAGGAGCACCAGGCGTGTCCAAGAGGATGTGTGTGTCTGTCATGACTTCAACAAGAGGAGAAAAACTGCAGAAAACCATCAGAAAGTAAGAATAAAATAACAAGACATGCGTGACTTAATAATCCGGACATTTATTCTCCCTTCTACGCTTCATCTTAACGACCAAAGGTTCACAGGTTACAAGTTCACAAGCACAAAGTATTAGGTTTTATTATCAAGAAATTTAAAATGTAATACCATTAGAATGTGACTGGAAAGCCTCCCTTTCCCCCCTGAGTGATTGTGTGTATGCATAACAAGCCTCACAATCTGTTTGACGAGAAGAGCTTTGACACAGATCCCTGCTTATAGATTTTCTTGTACATGTAAATGTTGCAAGGTTGTGTATGTGTGTGCACATGTGATTTGGCTGCCAGCATACCCTACTGTTTATTTCAAGTGAATTTGGCAATTTACAGAGATAGCTTATTGTTTTGTTGTTTTTTTTTTTCTTTTTTTTTAACTCAAGAAACAAGTGGCTTCTAGAGGAATGAGGCTGAGAAAAAAAACCCTCTTGTTGTCTTTTCTGCTCCGCCAGCGCTACATGTGGCTTTTAAAACAACAGGCGCAGCTCGCTCTCAGGATAGGATTCAACACTGTTCATACAGCACCCATAGTGGTGTGGAAATATTCACAACTCTTGGATACAGGTATGTATTTAAGCTACATCATTGGCTGCATTAAACAAGCTCAACGGAGCTCCCCAGAAGCTATCACAAAAACAAACAAAAAAAAAATACATTTTAGATCTGCTCTCCTCCTTCTTTATGCACACTTTGGAGTACACAAAGATGAAGCATGTGATGTTTAGTATGCCGCAGTTATTTAACTTCAAGCAAAAACATTAAGTGCATGGCATAAGTTTTATGAATTTCATCTAAGGTTTCTGAGGTTTTCTTTTGCAAAGTGTCAGTTTGTCTGTTTGGGTGTCTGCAAAAACTGTGTGCAACACCCATTCAGTAAGACCCTCTGATTCTCTTCATTTTATCAATAAACAAATCCAATTTTGATTTTTTTTTTTCCTATACAGAAATGATCAACCAAGATAAAACAGAATAATGCCAAAAAAACAAACAGTGAACAGATATAACAACTAGTGACAGATGGATTGTTTTTGTCCTTAAAACATCCCACAGTCTGTCTTGATTTTTTTTTTCTTTATCTCTTAGTGGGAACAACTGCACCGTGATCTCGAATGTCTTCACCTAACCCTTAGTCCTTGATTTCCACCTCACAAAAGTTCGGACAAGCTGCGTCTTCTAACTGGACGTCAAAGAAAAATTGCATAAGTTTTTCATAAGCATGTCATTGTTTTTTTTTTTTCAGTTTGTTTTGTTTTTATTTCACAGGAGGCTTTGTGGGCTGAGGTGCAGCATCTTTAGAGTCTCTCAGGTCAGTTGTGGTTCGCCAGTGTGGGAGTGAAGGTAAAGCTCAAGAGAGGAAGTTTACTTTTGTAAACACAGCGTTTGTATTTTACATTGTGCTGATGGCTGGTTTGGCAAAAACGGGAGGTTCTGTCTGATCTCCTTTTGCACCTCATATGTCAGACCTGCAAAGATAAAGAGGAAAAAGTTAAAATCTGTGCAACATTGTTACATAGAGTCAAACATTTCAGTTAGTGAAGCCCAGTAAGCCAAATACCAAAATACCTTATCTTTAATGGAAATCTGCATCTAGAAAGGACTATATTTAAAGTTAGCATACAGTTTGGATGTTCATATCTGTCATTGGGTTGATGATGCGCAAATTCTTGCTCTTTCTGGTGTGATCAGGTTTGATCATGGTACCCTTTTCATGAACCTTTTAGATGAATCTCTTCTCCAATGTAACTAACCAAATTCCCCGATCTAGATGTAATTTAGCTCTCCAGAGGTCTAATAACAAGACATTCACTTAATTCAGGTCTGGAGATGGGATTCCTCTAAACATGGCAGGATAGCTCTCAAGGACTGGTCTTCGGCAACCCTAGTTTTGATTAACCAATCACCTGCTAGCAGGAAGAGACAGTCCTTTTGAATCATCACTATTTTAATAAAATTGATTCCCCTAATATAAAGTTGATTTTAACGTAACAATTTCACAATGAGAGAGTAGACACATGCTTGCAAAGCTTTCTTTAAAAAGACTACATTTGATGTTTTTGAAGTGGATTTTATTTGAGTTCTAATAAGCAGACAGTAGACAGACTTAGACAGTAGTCTGAAAATTCCTAATTTCAACATTTGTTTTAATTCACGGTAGGTTAACATTTATACATTAGTTTTGTATTAGATGTTTAGACAGATACATGTCCACGTTTCTTTACAATGAAGTTCTGTCCATCAAAACATGTTAATAAAAAAAATCTCAAGAGCTTCACTCGTTCAAGTAAAGATTGCTAATGTTTTACGTTTAACCAAATTTAAACCTTGACATATCCTATAAATTGTTTCACATAGATCATTTTATTTTAGCAGAGCACATTGTAACAGAATATAATGAAAAACAGCAATAGCATGATGAAATTGGGGATGTCTTGATGAAGACTTTTTTGCCCTAATATGATCAGATTAATTAAAGAATAGATTAGATTGAATCAAAGTAAGGACAAACCTAAAACCTAAGAAGCTGTAGGTTGCAGTTAAAAAAACACTCCTCAGTGGTTTGGTATTGTGATTATGTCTCATATCAGTCATCTGTAATATTCCTTTTCTTAATGGCAACAGACACCTGTTGCAACTATTATCCTTCCTAACAAAAACATCTAAACTGAAGATACAGTAGCAGATTTCAATTAGTCTGGGATAGATACGCATAATTTAAAGCTGTCTTGATCAGGAGATACTTATAAATAACCTTTATGCGTAAATGAAACATTGGCTTAAATAGTTAGACAATACTACTTTACCAAATTAGAATGGCTATCTTTGACATTTGAGACGTCCATTTCATCATACATGAACCGCTCACTCTATCTGTAAGCTTTAGTCCCCCAATGAAAACATCAGAAACTCAAGACTGTGAATATTCAAACAGCTGTTAACTGTGGGATAGATACTAACAGCTGACAACCTTTTTACAAATATCTACCTGAAATCTCTGAACTACCCGTTCCATTGGTACAAAGTACAAAAACAAAGGTTTAAAGGCATGCATTTTGTGTTTGGTCATGAAAAATGTAAACCAGCTGCAACAAACGCTCTTTAAACTTGATGAAGCACCTGTTTGCTAAACTCTTCATCACAACACGTGTGGTGAGCCACGGATGCAGCTGAAAATTATGGTGGTGCTAAAGCTCTAAAAGTATCTTTCCTGTTTGCTAAGGTTGGCTCTCCACAGAAACATTGGCAAGCTGCTAACCCGTGATAAAGCACAGCGTTACAGACCAATTAAAAATATATGTCAATGTTTTACCATGCAAATTCTCTCAGAGGAAAATACTGTTACTTTCCTCAATAAAATTAAAAATAGTAGACTTTCTGAAAGAGGGCGGGGAAATGTCCCTTGCACTTTTTCAAAAGTCTTTTGATCCCCTGAACTTTTTACCCTCCAAAAACAATGTTGCACTACAGCGCACAGACGATTGTCGAGCGCTAGGACCAAGTGGAAAACCACAGCTCAATCTGAAGCCCAGAAAGCTCGGAAGGAAAAAAAAATACAATCTATGAATGTGATTCTATAAATCCAAGCTCTTAATAATTGTAAAACTATGTGTTTTTACTCTACATGGACTGTTGCACCCCAAATTGTCCAACTGTCCATGTCATGCATCCATATATTTTGTTAGGAGAGGGATAGCAGATACAAAAAAAATTAAAAAAACAATCACAGAGGATCTACTAGAAAAAACACCTAACTTATATAGTACCGGTAGTTATATATATATATAAAAAAACTGCGTCTCCCACACTTCTGAAATCAAAATTTTGTCCATGGTATTACCACATGTTCTCAGAGGTTGTATGGTTTATATTCATTCAAACCAATCCTCACCCACCTGCTCTTCCCCTTCTATCTCAGCCAGGCACCCAGCTCTGGGACGTCTGCTTGCTGCTTGTGAAGTTGCTGACTCCATTCATGTTGGCCAGTGTCTCAAAATTAAAATCCAGACCGTCTGCATCCATCAAATCATTCCTAATGATGGACTCCATGTCACACTCCAGGCTGCCACCATTGAACATGTCCAGGTCCAAGTCTGTAGGGAAGCGGTCCTGACAACCTCCGCTGCTGCTAACTGTGCCATTTAAAAAGATGGAGGTGTCGATCTGCATGGAGGAAGTTCCATTTCCACCAATTGGTGACAGTAGGAGCTGTTGTTTGACATTAGCCAAAGTATTAGCCTCGTTGACGAGGTTCAGATCTCCATTCAAAGACCTGAGGGTGCTCTGTTTGTGGTTGTTAGTTTGGATCATCTCCCTATGGCCACCCTGAAGACCACCAGTGGTCCCAAAAGTCATAACAGGATCATTACGGACCATAACATTTCGCCGGGCGTTCTGGGAAATAATGGCAGCAGCACTGGCCTGTGACATCAATGGGTCGGACTGAGTCATCATGACATCACTATGATTGTGGCTGTCAGAGTTAAGAAGGTCTTGTAGTGTTTGGCCGCAAAAGCGAGACATGCCAGTGGTTGAAAATGATGTTTGCTTATTCTCCTGGATGGTCTGCATGGGGGACGTACGCAGTGAGGAGCTTCCTGTGTACGGACCAAAGATGGAGTTACTGTAACTATTACCTCCTGCATTAGGGGAGTTGTTGGAGGATGGAGATGAAGTTGAGGAAGGTGACCCTAACCCATTGGGTTTGGACACAAAACTAAATCCTGAGGAACCATTTTGCATTCCCTGGCTGCAAGTGGTTGGTTCTAGCTTGATGTTATCCAGCAAATCATCCATCAGGTCTTGAGTGATTCCATCATTAAGGTTCATTGTATTGGCCAGATCCGCCAGACGAGGTAGCTCAGCAGGCGCAGGCTTCCCATTGGTCAAAGTATTGCCAGGAGACAGGGCTCTGCCAGGACTGGAGTAGATCATTGGTGAGAGAGGAGGTTCATCATCAGGGACCTCGTCAAGCTCAGGGTTTGCTAAGATTGGGCCGCTAACTGTGCTGGCATTAGAGTTGGTTCGGGATCGGAAGTCTGTCCAGGCATCCAGGTCCTCGCTGCTGCGTGATGTTGGGCTCCCCGGCCACTTAGAGGGGCCTGACGGACTGTCCCCACCAGCCTCCCCAGCTGCAGCAGCAGCAGCCTGCAGGGCGGCTTTCTTCTTAGCAGCAGCACGACCACGGGCAGACTTGGTGTACTTGTTGCTGTTGTCCATGGAGACTGCCCGGCGCCGTGGAGCCTTGCCTCCCTTTCCTCCCTCTGGGTTGATCATCCACCATGAACTCTTTCCCGTTCCCTCATTCTGGACACGGATGAAACGACTGTGGAGAGACAGGTTGTGCCGGATGGAGTTCTGGAACAAAAACAAAGTAGAGGAGATTTTTCAGTAATGTACGAAAACCTTTTTAAAGAACAAATAATAAGACTGCAAGTATCATGACCTTAAAACATGATATTTAAAAAGGAAGTATATTATTTAGATGAGGTCAGAAAGTGGAATCTCAATGCACAAAAAGTACAAACAGAATTCCAATAGGAGCAAGCCACTAACCTTGCTATAAAGTTTTGGAATGCATGGTTGGTGGATTAAATAAAAAGGCTATTTCTCACTTTTGTAATCATCTGGACTGTGTCTGATGATCTCTGCTATAAAATCTAAAGTTAACTAAAGAAATGAGCTGAATTATTCAAACCTCAGTTATATTTCCTTAAAACTCTGCTAAAGGCTATGAAACCTTTTGTCTGTCTATGAAAACACAAACAGGAAATAATTTCAGTAGAGTTTTGATATGAAAACTAGAGAAGTTCATTGGTTTATGCAGTTATGGTGAAAATTATTTGACCATCCTTGTTTTTTTTTTCTTTTCTTTTGTTTGTTTCTGTTTGCTGTATTCTTCAAGTAATAAACTCTTTGCCGGTCTATTTTTTCCCATGACTTTATAGAAGAACGTCCACTCAAAACTGCAATATATTACAATACTCTTGTGTATAATTTACCTGTGAAATAAAGTGTATTCTTTATTTCACAGGTAAATTATAAGCATTTTGTCTTGTTAATCCCTCCCCCCTCAGTTTATGAGTGTAAACAGTTCTTAGGCATGATTAGACATACTAAACACGCAAATCCAAAAGCTTATTGTTTCAGTTACTCTTTAGATATAGACAGGCTCACAGTTGTGTGGAGCAATTCACAGCGCTGCTGGCAGCATTGTTCCCGCTGTGGCATTGTACTGTTGACTTAACAGAATAGATAGGCTATAATTGAGTGTCTTGGTGTCTTTTATAAATGAGACATACATAGAGCTTCTGTTTGTAAGATCATGAGTTTCAGCTGGTGTGCACTGATAGGCTATGGTTTCTTGTGAAAGCCCCAAAGCCTCATTGCAAAGGATTTGGTGCACATGACAAACCTTGTTAATAAACACTTTCATTGACAGGCCACATATTTATGGATACATAAAATACTTCTGTTGTTGGCAATGTTTAAAGCAACAGGGCTAAGCTGGGTATTTGTTCATTGCCATGTCTTTTTTCCACATTTGTTTTTAAGCCTTCTTCTTGCTTGTGTTACTATTTGGTGCTTCCTAAAAAGTTCTTTAAAATAATGTCCCTCAGTCGCTGGGTTGAAGGCTGATTAGTTAAAGAAACTAATCTAACATTCAAAACATGAAAAACAAAGTTTTGATTCAGTTATTATTGTATATTAATGCTTGTGTTAAATAACTAGTTTGGATATAGGGATTTAACAAGGTTAAGATGCGTCTGCTGGATTAAAGTTGGGGAAAAACAAAAATCCGATGTTGTAATTCACGAGATTTTTAGCCTTTATGTGTAAAACCTGCAAAAAAAAAGACTGCAAGAGAAAACAGGAATGAATAAATATTTCATTACAAATCTATAGCTCATATGTCTCTCCATGCCTACTCAGACATGGAAAATACTAATTAGAATCCCAGCTTTGCCAGACATTTACCTGATATGATTTATAAAATTCATTCACCTCAGTAAAGTTTTAAGTTCAAGGCAAATGAGGGTTTTATTCATGTATCTTGATCTGATCTATCCCAGCCAAGAACTGCTCCATCTGGACCGCCCTTCCCTCACATCCAAACTTCCACACAAACACTTGCAGCCATCTGGTTTCTTTAAAGAAACCAATGCATAGCTCATAAAGGAAAGAACAATTCTGAGGCAAAGAATGGGATTTTATAGCCATGAACTCAAATTTTAACAAATGTAGATGTGTCTATACTTGTTTTTCTTAAACATCGCAATTAACTTTCTGAATCCCTTTTCTTAACCCCCTTCTTTCCTTTTCTTTCCATTCCCTCTTCCTCGCTTTCTGTTGTTTCACAAACACATAGTTCTTATGGGCCCAGAGGGAATCTCGGGCTATGCTGTATCCTCCCATATAAACAACCTAACCACCATCCACAACATGCAAGCCAGTTTTTTCTTTCCCTCTCTTTGGTTTCCTTCTTATGTATATTTTTATTCCTGAGCACAGAGGAGATTTCTGGGCTCAAACCAGCACAAGCCTAAACAGCTTTCAAGCTTTTGTGGGAATACCAATGTTGTTTGCCATGAACCGATCCCAACTTTCTAGGCAAGAGTTTCTGAACAATTTGGTCTGGACTGTTACTCCGGTCAAAAGCAGTTCATTCAGAGTGTAGAGGGTTTAGGGTTACATTTCTAAATGCTACGCTGGCAGAAAAAAAACAAAAAAAAACCCTGAACTTTTGACTCTTTGTACAGTAGTTGTGTCCAAAGGTTTGTAACTCTATTCATGCAGGTAATCTTTGTGAAAACTGTTGCGTATTTTCAAATCATTGATCTTGTGCATGAAATCATGAATGGCGTATGTGTTTGAAAGCACGTTTCCCAAGTGTGTGGGTGTCTATTTTGTACAATGAGGTAAGCGAAAAAGAAGTACCAGGGGGACCTAGTGTTTGTCCTTTGAAAGCATCTCTAGAGGAGTGACGTAAAGCTGCTTCATTACCAAAGTTTTTAAAACACACACGCATCGACACACATCGTGACTCAATGTTTCCAGCCACCAGGAAGATATAAACAAACAGGATATACAGTATATTCTAATATGAAAAAAAGATGGATAATTGGAGCGTGATTTTTGTTTTTGTTGATGTTTCAAGCTTTCTTTCACCCGCCAGCTTCTGACAGCTCATCAGTTCTTGGAGCTCCCTTCACACTACATTCTTCTCACTATCTAACCCGCACACAAAGATTCTGGTCATATGTTACCCGTTTTGATGTTTCTTTAAAATGTGAAACTGAATTTCTCATGTTGTGTCAATCAAAAAGAAACAGGAGATTTATAGCGGCATGAAATGTAATGGCATTAAACAGTGACTGATTATGAAAGAGGAGGTGAGGAGATTATGATTGTGAGATGAAAAGATGGATAATGTGTGTGTGTCATATTAGAAATAAGAACAGTAGCACTAATAGCAGCATATCCTCCCACATGCTTGCATAACACAAACCTTATGTTTACCATGTCTGATATTCTACTCTGAGAAATATTTCTGATTTATTTAGCTTTCAGAAAACATCTATGTTTATTTTCTTCTTTTTTTTTTTGCCAAAAGCAGACACTGAATAGGGTCAAGTGTGCTCATGGTGCATTTTAGTTTAAGCTGGGTACAGTATTTCTTTTATTTTTACAACTTTAGCTTCTCTTGGGTATTCCCAAAGCCCATTAATAAAAACAGCACACTGAGACAGCAGCTCTGATTCATTGCTTCTACTAAGCAACCACAGGAGCTAAATAACACACAAACACAGTTTACAGTGGAAACCTGCAGTGGATCGGGTTTAGGAGGCACGCCGAAAATTATGATGTGAGGTTTTACGCAGTACATGCTAGCATAAATATCCCTAATGAAATTTTTTTTACTTCAAAGTGATATTTTTATTCTAACATCCAGTGAGCGCGTACACCATATGACTGCATTAGATACAAAAACAAAAATATAAAAAGATTTATTGTTTTAAAATGATTTGTTTTAGTTTATATGAAGTTTATAGGTTTTTATTGTGTTGATTTATTTGTAAATGATACAATTGGATCATCAATTATCTACAATTCCTATTTGCAGTACTGACAAAACAGTCTTTTATTTATTTATTACTTCAGTGTGCACAGATTCAATAGTGCACTGTAATCCCCCACACTGTTTACATTTGTGAGATAGCCATATATGTCTGTATGCGTGTCCACCAGCTGCAGGCGAAACTCAGGAAAACAGAGAAGTTTTTGTCAGTCAGCAACATGTGGGAACAATTAATTACTGTCAGCAACCACGCAAAGAATCCCTTTCCCTCCCTTTTTATGTGTTTTTTTATGTGTGCATAGTGAACTCATATCTCTGATTATGCAAATCCTTATTTTAAGTCTTTAATAAACCATTTCAGATTGTAAGACTTCCATGGGAGCTAAACTCACGTCTAAGGAAAGCTTGTGCTGTATATGTAATGAAACTCCTAAAGGTAAATCTCAGGCAACATTACCTGATTGGTTCAGATGATTCTAAGCTCTCTTTCTTATTGGTTGTAACTATCCAAGCTCAAGCAGTTGTGATTGGTGGAGTGAAATTGGCCGATGTAGCCAGGCAGTACAGAAAAGGGCGGGTATTCATGGTGTTGCATGTGTATTTCATCACCCAACTACAGCACATATCTGAACTAAAATATATGAACTGGGTTGGTTTTACTGGGCAGGTTCTGTCTTCTCTCTAAATATGCAACCAACCTGATATTCTAAAGTTATTGGAGAGAAGAGATAAATAAAAAAAACACATATATTAATAACATACATATATTATCTATTAATATTGGAAAATAATTATTTCTTGGGATATTAAATAAGATTTAATTTAATAACATGACTTGTTGAAAAGTCTAATCTTGCAAAAGTTATCTTTTACATTATAATCAAATGATTTTATTTCTGTTTTCACTGCTTTCATAGGACAAACTCTTTGGCCTGAGCCCTATGGTGTACATAACCACCCACAGGCACACTGTATGTGTCTGTGTTGGAGTCTTGGCCAAACATAACCCCACTTTTTCAGCTATTATGTAAACTAGTTCTAATCTGATTCTAATGTCAACAGTGACTGCTGCTGCTGCTGGGGTCAATAGGACATTTAACATAATGTGAGTCATGATCTAACAAAAGGGGACGACAAATGACAAATGTAATGTTAAAGGGTTTTGAAAGTGTATTCCTTTAGACTTCAATAAGATTTGTTTGATTTGCTTATCTGCTCTTTTATTCGTTATTAAAGGAAACTGCAAAAAGACAGACCCTTTCTGAAAGCTTTCTAAAAT